TGCTTTGTTTTATTATTTTCTTCAAGCCCTGTGTACAGGAGCTGCATACAAAAAGATATTTTGTGAAAAGGGTTGGCGTAATAAGCAAATGCTTCAGCCAATACCTTTTGATTAGCCTTGTCTCATGCTTTCTTTCTTTATGGTAGATTTTTGTTCTGTTTTCACTGTTTGTTTGTTTTTTTTCACTGTTTTCACTGAGATTTGAATTTGAATGCTAATCAATAAAATCAAAAATCAAATCATATATATATTTATTTATTTATTTATTTATTTATTTATTTATTTATTTATTTATTTATTTTTAGTAGTCTAGTCTGTTGTTACTCCCACAGTAATCTCAGTGTGTTTCCTGTGACACAACCAGTACTTCTTCCCACAGATTTGGCGGCAACTAGAGCGGCGCCTTACATCAGCAACAATAGAGCAGCTGCTCAGCAGCATCAATGGGCTCTGGATGACCTGTGGCTTTGTGCGTTTGCGCGCCTTTTTTCTTCCTTCATTTCACCCAGAATCGTCTCATTAAGGCATCCGGGGTCAGTGATAAATTTGAGGTCCTTCAATCACCGCAACAAAAACGATCAAACACCATAAACATCTTTGTCGAGCATACTTTTATTGAAAATATTTTGTCATTGACAAAACAGAAATGTCATAAAACGTGTCTTGTCGTACATAAATAATATATAATCCTAGTTAACACATAGTGTTTACTGACTATTCTGTTGCACAGACCAAAATACATTTAAGTCAACCGTGCAAACCTCAAACAAAATAACCCGTGGGGTTTACAAAAGTGTTGTCTACAACCCGTAACTCTGAAACCCCAAAGAGGATTGCATTTTTTTAAGTTCAAAACCTTCAGTTTCTTTGATATCTGTGCTCGAGTCTTCTAGCATTAAACGCAAAATGACTTAAACTTATATACAGCTCCAACAATTCTTCTTCACCGTACTCACTAAAACTACCACTGATTTAGTACAAATAGTAAACAGCACAAAATAAACAGGCGTGAGATAACTGTCCATCTAATCTACCAAGGTCTCCACGTAGCAGCGCTGACAGCCTGCTGGTCTGCCTGCGCTCTGCTTGGAGCCACTGCGCTGCTGCTGCGGTGCTGAGTCTCCAGCCTGGAGGTGAAGCTGGATTTGAGGCTCATAATTTTCTCTTGGATCTGAGGTAAAGTCCTGGAGCTCTGGGCACAGCAGTTCAGGCAGGTTGGAGTGACGGTGGCAGACATGGACTGCTGGACGAAGTCGTGCACCCGTTGGCACGCGTCCTGATCCAGACTTTTGGGAAGCAGCGCGGAAACACGCTGGAGGCAAGCTTTGTAACCTTCTCTGTAACTGTCTGCGGAGTCTGGAGAGAGGACAGGAGATATTTGATCAGTGGCTGGGATTTTCACAAGAAGGGTGTTAAAAACTTGGAGGGCAACAGTGTGCTATGCATGTCGTAGAGATAATGCTCACCTTTGACTGGGGTGGAAGGAAGATCTCTGAGGAAGCGGACTGTCATTTCCAGAATGTCCGCTTTTTCCAGCTTGGAGTAGCGTGCGTTATCTTTGCCAACAAGGGGCAAAATCAGGCTCTTCAAATGATTGAGACTGTCATTGATGCGAGCTCGTCTTCTCTTCTCCAGCAGGGGTTTAAGAGTCTACAAAAAATTATTTCAACACTGTTACTAGGCTGTACCGATAGGGTTAACGCAGAACACATTTCCAGAAACAAAACAAACAGCTGCGTAGTGGTTCGTCTTCTCCTTACCTTTCTAAGTTCGTTGGCTTGTTTTCTCTGGGCCACGGTGGACCTTGCAGGGAGAGGCTGGCTGGCCTCAGTAGTGAAGCTGGGACTCATTCTGTTTGCGTTTTCTTGTTGTGCTTTTTGACGGGAGATGCTTGCTTCCTGAGCGGCTGAGCTGAAGTGTGCCGCTGAGCTGGCGAGCTTCCTATTTATGTGGAGCCGGAGCGTCAGAGGGGAGGGAACACAAGCCATTGCAGCGGGGGCATGACACAGGGGGCGAGGCCCTTGGGAGACGAGTAGAGATCCTGTCTGGACCATCTGGCCCCCCGCGTCTGTATGTTGGTATGCGGAGTTTCGTGATGCTGCTGCGTTTTACTGCATTTAATATTTAAGGCTTCAACGTCTATCCAAGATCAAATTACAAGTGCAGGGTATGAAAACTTGTTTTTTTCTTAGGCAGACAACCGCCATTGTAATTATCTACGGTGTATCATTGTTCTTTTCGTGACGTTGTTAGTTAATAACTTTAATTATTAAAAGTTGCCTATGTATCATTTTGTTTATGTTTGTATTAAGCACTTCCTACAAGTAAAGTCAGCATGTTTTTATAAGACCCATCAAAGTTAAACAGCTATAAATGAACAATTACAAGTTAGATAAAAAAAAACACACACACACAAAAACATCCTGCATAATGAAAATTAATACCGTGCGTTTATTTATGGTTTCGTTCCCGCCACAACAAAACAAAAAGGAGCTAGATGAATGAATTTGAGGGGAGGAGACTAATCTATTCCAAAATTAATAAAGCAGATACCCAAGCCAAGCCATGTATGGATTAACATCTGCTTCTGGACCCTCAGCAGACTGCTTCCAATATCGACAACACGGTGTTTACCTGTAGCAGTGGGGGAGGTGACGGACAGCTCGCAATGCAAGCAAAATGAGGCGTGTATGTGATATAAGATCGCATATCATAACCGTGCAATACATGTGCAATACAATACACATGTTTAAAGGAAGAATTGAAAAAAAAAATTGATAACTCCCACGAATCGTCGCACTTAAATATGAATTTTGAATTATGAATTATGGAAATGTTAAGTATTCCCTACAAATTATGTAAATACAAGAATAATGCAATCTGTAAACGATAACTGTGACACATATAACATCAACCTCCAGAACTTTAAACAGCTTTTATTTAAATGCTGTTTTAAAGAGTGTCAGTTTCTCAGGCCTATGAGCTGCCAGTAGGATTCACGCGTTCGGCACGAGCCACGATCGGAGCAACAGATGGGACCCCCCACCCCCACCTCACCCCCGCCTTTCTCGTCTCCCGTCTCTATGCACCCTCCCCCGTCTGCCGCTGCTGCACCACTCTCGCATCAGCATCCCAGCCCCTGCTCCCGATCATGTGTCCTCTCGCCATAAATGTGCTTCACTCTTGTTTTGTCTCTTTTTTTTTCTCCTTTTTTTTTGCGAGGGAGGGGGCTGTGGTGGTGGGGTGGGGGAGGGGGACATGACCGCAATGGTGCAATTGTTGTATTTTTGTAACAGTCAAGTTAAAACGGCATGATGAGTAGAAAAGGGAGAAAACATCTAGAATACTCAGAACTAGGAGTTCATAATAAAAATAGACAAAACTGCAAAAATGCATATAAACGCTCTCTGTTTTAAATGATGTCAAATAAATTTAGTTATAGATCTTTTGATGTTTAATGTCATTGGAAGCACCTTGGAGTTTTATGGATACATTTTGCGCAGGGAATTTCCAAGGAAACAAGAAGGAGCGAGACATGTGCATCACACTGAAGTAAATTTTTACGCACGCGAAACCAGATATACCGCACAACAAACTCATAATTTAGACAAAGATACGCTGTCCCATCGACTGCAATCTGCTCTTCTCTATAGCTTCAAGGATTTAACCTTCCTCTTTTGTCAAGCATTACACATGCACGGTTTTGCACGCGCCCTGCCCCATGGGGCCTCAAATAACCGCCACCAAGTCCAGTATGGGAACTGGCACTTCGCGATAAGACGAAAAAAAAGTCCAGGAAAGGCTTCGGTTGGGACCCTTTTTTGTTTTGGTTTCAGCGTGGGTATCCATCTGTGCACGATCAGGGCACAGTGATCCTTTGTTGAAGGGTGTACAGAAAAGTGGAGTCACTCAAAGTTTTACAGCAACTGTGTGGGAGATGCACATAATTTGTTTTGTTTGTTTGTTTCCAGTAAAACTAGGTATTTAAATCCCCATTTCATTTCTTCAACTCAACCAAATGAAATAAACTGTCAAATTGTTTATTACCGCAGAAATAAATCAATAAGAATACCAATTATAACATCTTCAGTATAATTTTGGACAAGGTACAATCTGGATGAAGAGATGAAACGGCAAAGAGCTATCCTGTGCATTCAAAGAAAACATCTTTAAAATCCTAATCGCTGAGTTTGCGTATGAGATTTAATAGAATTTGGTTGTATAAACGGCATGAGACTGACACGAGCCAAAGCGTTCAGACAGATGGAGCTGAAGCGCACTGAGGCGTAAAACCAAATGCGTCGAAGGACTCTGCTCTGCCAAAGGTGATCGTCTCCACTTCATGGAGCCACATGAAAATTGCCAGACTTGGAGATTTTCCAGACTTCAAATCGCGACTGCACCATAAACGATGTTTGGCGACCCAAGCCAAATTCTACGCTACCATTATCCACATGACACGAAAGCATCTGCTAGACTCAGGACTGACCTTTGTGTACGGAGCAAAAAACAAAAAACAAACAAAAAATATTTTATTCTATGTAGCTTAAAGTAGACTGAAAATTTATATACCAAATACATAACGGCAAGCTCAAAAATACATATTTTCGTGAAATGCTACAAAAAAAAAAGACATCCAATAATCGTTTTTTTCTGCCAGTTTCCATTCTTTCATTGACAAACTGAACTCTTTATTGTCATTGCACGATCATACTTTGTGCAATTGTACAACGAAATTAGAGTATTGTCCCACGTCGGTACTAAAAGAAAGGCGAGAAGTAATCGCAATAAACAATATATATGAATATAATATAAATACGCAAAATGTGCAGAAACATTAAAGACGACAATTAGGCTATATATAAAATATCATCTTTTTGTTTGTTTTTATTTTAAAATATGCCCTTTCCATGGTCACTAATGTTTGGCTCCACATTAATTCTGTTAGAAAAATCTCCCACAAATCTGTATTGTACATTTAGCTAAGAAAATAAAACATATGATTTTTTAAATTATACTAAATGTGTTTAAGATGAGACATAGAAATCTTTGTAAATGTTTCATACAAATTTGATTATAACAGTCAAAAATCTGATTGTAATCAATTATTAAGCTATTTATACACATAGTACAGATATATAAGCAGAAACTGCTTAGAAATTACAAACATCCATCCATTTTCCTAAACATTTATCCAGTCCAGGGGGCTCCAGCCTTTCCCAGTTGTCACAGTGCAAGGTTTTACAAAAAGCAAGCCACAGCAAAGTGATGGCAAGACCAAGAGGTCACAAGGCGTAGCAGAAGCAATGAGTCTTTGTTTGATCTACAAAGTACCACAAAAAACAAAAAGACTAGAGTACCCTTCTGTTTTGGCTCAAACAAGAACTGACTTTTGTTGTTGTGATACTGTGATGATCTGTGCCAGACTTATGAGAGACATAAGACAAACATTTCAGTTGATGTTTTTTTTTCTTAAAAGCATATCAGCACTGGTGTATTTATCATTATTTCTTCTTTTTTTTTCCCTGAAAGCTTAAACAAAAATGCCATTCCAGATGAAGGCTGGTGAAATAAATATTTGATTCAATTGAAATGTCAAATATTTAATAATTCTAATTCCTTGACTGTGTCCTTTGTTTGACATGATATGACAACCTGGTACATTCAATAGCTTGCATTTTCCAACAGATAAGACACAAACAAACTGTGGACTGACTTTGGCTTTGTAAAAAATTATTATGGGCTTTACTGTTTGCCATTTGGTAAACTAAGTTATCTGCATTGCACACTTACTGTAAACTTTTAGTATGGTGTTAACACCATGACGATGTTTAAACCATCTAATTTTCTTTTACCATCCCCCTATAGTCTTTGTAGTTTTTAGTAGAATTCACATTATATGACTGAAGTATGGGTCACCTACACTACACAGCAGCTGCGCAGCCATGGGAAAAATCACATTCCAACTCAATGATCTCTTTAAAATGAGCTATTTTTTTCAGAAATGTAGCCACATTGTATGGCTAGGTGTTTGATTTTATATATCTGTGGCATTTTTGGTACCGTCCAATACAGGAAACTGAGCTTAAATGTTTGAAAATAGAAAGCTTACACCTTAGACTTAACTTGCCAGCCAGACTCCAACCACGAATTGAATTCTGTGTGAGTCCTTCTCAATACAAGACACATCAAAGTAGAACGGTTTTGGGGGGGATGCGAGACAATAGCATAGACAATGATGGTAACTCAGTTTCAAAAATTGGGAAGCTGTGTAAAAAGTAAATAAGAACAGAATGCAATGATCTGAAGATCTCATAAGCCTACATTTTAAAACTCAAATCTTTACATGTGTAACATGTATCAATTTAAGAAAAATATTTAATCGTTTTAAAATTGATTGAAGCAACACATCTCAAAACCGTTGTCACAGTTTGCCACTGTGTAGTATCCACTCTTCTTTGAGCAACAGTCTGTAAACATCTGGGAACTAAGGGGGGAAAAGCTGCTGAACATCTGGGAAAGCAGTGTTGTCCCAGTCTTGTCTGATATTGTGTTTTAGGTTCTCAGGAGTCCTGTGTCTACTTTGTCATGCTTATCATTTCATGATGCTCCAAATGTTTTCCATTAGTGAAAAGTCTGGACTGCAGGCAGGATAGTTCAGCACCTGGACTCTTCAAGTACAAAGCCATTCTGTTGTAATAGATGCTGCATGTGGTAAGGCATTGTCTTGCTGAAATATGTGAAGCCTTCCTTAAAGAAGGCTTCTTCTGGATTGGAGAATATGTTGCTCTAGAGCTTGCATGTACATCTTTCACAACTGATGGTGCCTTTCCAGATGCACAGTGCACTCTTATACCATCATCAGCATTATGCAGGCTTTTGAAATGAGTGCTGATAACAAGCTGGATAGATTTCAAATTCAGATTTGTCTGACCACAGAAGAGTTTTCTACTTTGCCGGAGTTAATTTTAAATGAGGTTCAACTCAG